ACATTGAGTTGAAAAAATAAAACAACATATTTCACTATGTTATTGTCTTTTTGATTGTCTCTAGTGTTGTATTTCATTGATATAAATGTAAATAAAAATGAAATTTCTGCTGTCTCCAGAATGGAGATTTGGTATATAATATCCACTGGTATTTTTTGTAACATTATGCAAATAGGCCATTTGGTCATGTCATGAGAAAGATCAAACTGGAGTACATCATGATGGTAGGAAAGCTGGAGTTTAAAGAGGGGCAGAGGGAGACTGAGAGAGAAGATATTGGACAGTTTGACATCATGGCATGAAAAATCATCCGTGTCAAAACTTTTTAGACAAAAGTACATAAGACAGAGGGTTGTGTATAGACATAACTACCAATACCTCACAGGATGAATTTTAAAAAGGCCCTAATCTCTTCCACAGTGTGATTCTCATACTGCTATGCAAAAGCCACAAGAACGGTCTTTGTCTAACCCCCATTGACAAGAAAATCAACCCCAGCAAGTAAAGTAAAGGACCTTTTTTGTTTACACAAGTTGTGCATTGGTCATATGATAATGAAAATGATCATTATCATAAACCACTTCTGCCAATAAGCACCATGGGAAGGAACAATTTGTGATCCAGTGCGCACTGGCTGGCACTGGCTATTGTCATGCCTTGAAAAGGAAAGTGTCTTTAATGTTGTCAGTCCTTCCTTTTCAGGGCCATCCTCTTGCAGCTTATTTCTGCGATAAGTGATGCTGCTGCATTCTAACAAGATGGCCAAGCCATTGATCTGTTGTTTCTTGATGAATCTGGTAAAAGGTGTTGCTCCTACAATCTGTCTGACATTTCCATTATTCACTTGTTCTTGGATTGTTGGGTTGGTGGATTTTCTCAGTCATCACATCTTGCAAGTGGTGATTTTGCATAAATGGGCTTTAGATAATGTTCATGTTTTTTACACCGGTAGTGCAACATTGGTATGAACATGCTGTTTATATGGTTTTTTTCTTTCCACATTTATGGTTGGATGTCTTAATAATGGTGACAATTGGTTCATAAGTGCGCTTGCTTTCTGATATCTGGTTTCTGTTTCTCTATTGCTTCTGCCATCTTCCTCGACCACATGGTCATAGGATGCTTTCCTAATATTTATATAGCCCAATCAGTACACTTGGATACTTGGATATGCTGATGACATTGATATCGTTGAAGAAAATGAGACTGTTAAAATATTGACTCTCTTAAAAGAATTGGCTCAGAAAATGAGACTAGTTATCAATCAAGATAAGTCAGAATACATGATTATAATTTGACATGGAAAGGATATAAATCCAGCCACATACAAGTCGATAATATGAAAATCAAGCGAACGGAAACATATAAGTACTTGGGGGCAAACTTCAACTGCTCCAACATGCTGAGAGAAGAAATAAGATCTAGAATACAATCTGGAAATAAAGTATACTATGCCCTTCAATATCTAAAGTCAAAGTGTCTGACTCGCAACACCAAGATCAAAATATACAAAATGTTGATAAGATCAGTCATTTTATATGGCTCTGAAACTTGGAGCACAACTAAAAGAGATGAAGCCTTATTACAGGTTTTTGAAAACAGAGTCTTACGACAAATCTTTGGACCCATCAAAGATGCAAACAGTGGGAAATGGAAAGTGAGAAGCAACAAAAAATTCATAATCTGTTTAAATCACCATTGATCACTTGCATCATGAGAGCTAATAGACTGAAATGGTTGGGGCATATTGAGAGAGTGTCAGATGACAGAGAAGTGAAAACTATACACAAGGGAGATGAATGGTCGTAGACCACGAGGCAGACTAAGAAGACGATTGAGAGATAATGTTCAGACGGACCTGCAAACACTTGGTGTCACCAAATGGAAAGAGAAGGCCAACCAGAGAGATGAATTGAGGCGGGTGATATCTACAGCAATGAACCCCAAGGGTTCGAAATGCTGAAGAAGAAGAAGAATCAGCACTCGAGGTGTGATGTACTCAACATCACGCTGGCTACTTTTACTTGCCAGAATATTACCTTGTAACCATTTTAGGCTGGGTCAGCTTGGGGTGATCCTAGATCGGTTGTGAAAACAAAATCTACTACAATATATTTTCGAACCCAAGACCTAGAGCGAACATGCGAGCATCAGGTCACTATGTTACCCCGGCTCGCTGAACCCTAGTACTTGAGAATAATGAAACATGTTCATGAAACCTTTAATGTAAAAAAAAGCAAAAACTGCAACATGTGTGCCACATTCTAGTTAGAAGCAAAAAATGTACTTCATCCTTAATTTCCCCATTATGAAGATTCTTAACAGTTTTTCATGATACACACATTTTCAGGTTGACTTTAGCTTCAACAATTATGTCTTTTCCCTACTTTACTTTAGTTTGATCTGTAACATTAGTAAGAGACCTATGTAAGATTCTGCAACAATCAAATTTGATACATCCATTTAAATAGTTGTCTTGTAACATACTTTTTATGTTTGTAAAAATAGCCATTGGGACACAGTTTATTCAATAATGCTTCATGCTAACTCTCTCAGTTGCTTGCTCAGTCACCCACTCTTTTTATCTCTCCCATTCACATACACAATATCTGACACAATGAGAAAAGAGACAAATACACACCAACATTTTATTATGTGAATTTTCTCACGTTAACTCCTACAACTTTCCTTTATGTTTAAGAAGTTAGTATACAGACTTTTCTCCCCATTTAATCTTGGTGTGTCAAAAAACTCTGACCGGTGTATACAGGAGAGAAAGTGTGTGTGTGAGAGAGAGAGAGAGAGAGAGAGAGAGAGAGAGAGAGAGAGAGAGAGAGAGAGAGAGAGAGAGAGAGAGAGAGAGAGAGAGAAAGACATGATTGTTAAAGAGAAAGAGGACTGACAGATTATTGCACCAGAATATTTTCTGCAGTAAGGCTAGTTGCTTGCCAAAAACCTTGAACAAAGCACAAACTCTTTAGCTTCAGGGACGATTCCCTGGGACCCCATCAAAACTAAATGACAAGTCCATGATATTAATCCACTAACTTTGGAGAGCAAAGCAAACGACTTCACCACTTCACCCCCATCCACTAACGGATACTACTGCAAAACTGCAGGGGAGACCAAGAGAGCATGTTAAACAGTGTGACCCACGGCATCGAGGAACATCTGTTCAACAATGATAAGCGTTGTATGTGACAGAAGCCGAGGAGGCTATGGGCAGATGTGATAACAAAATCACACGTCTTGCCACTGTTACTATGATCAAGAAAACTTAAGAAGAACAAACACAATATCCCGTTGACACACACCTAAACTCTTTGCTATGAGATAACAGTTTTAATAAATTATTTCTGTTTCTTTTTCTTTGCGTTCGGTTTCATATGCTCAGGTCACACCATCAGATGGGTTGTCTCTATGATCTCGCATGTCAGCTGCAAGTCCTTCATAGTTCTCCTTAGCTTACTCTGCATATTTTGTTCTTTCGGCCAGGTTTCTTTTCAATGTTGTAGGTAGAGTCGGCAGGTCTGTCGTAGTCAGCCGGAATCGACTGAAGAACGATTTGATTATTTTCGGAGAGTGTTTAGCTGGTGGGTCAGTTCTCTCTCATGTTGTCTCGTGAATCCCTTTGAGTCGCCTGGAGGACTGACCTGCAATCACACATAAAAGTAATTTTGCTTTTGTTGTTTTTCTCTCTCCTCAAGCACTTTGGTTGCATCTGTAATTACTTGATGCTCAGCTCTGAGGTTTGTTGAGAGTTTTTCGGAGGCACATGCCATTTTTACTGTGGTCCTATCTTGCAGCGTGATGACCGAACCAGCCTCTCCGTGTTTTCCTGCTCCCTCCAATGATCCATCCGTGTATCATCATCATCATGTAGCAGGTCCTTTGCAGAACGTAGCTCTCATCACAGTCTGCCTGAAAGAAACGTGGTCTCTCGCCAGTTCTCCCGCCTCATGTACTTTCATACTCAAGGAGTCACTTATAATATCCTGGGCTCTCCTTACAACTCCAGCCGGTAGACAAACATCGACAGCCGGTTAGTCGAAGTTATGTCCCCTTGCTACAGTGCAATTATGGACTGGACAGGAAGGAACGAAACAAATGACATAATTACTGTGTGTTGCCGACAGACAGCATACGGTTACGGTTTAGGTTAGGGTTTGGTTTAGCGGTAGGATTAGGTTTAGGGTGTGGGTTAAGGTTACTATCACCGCATCTCGTCTTCGCACAAACTCATAGTAGCAACCCAAACCCTAACCCTACCCCTAACCCTAGGGCACTGCACGCTGTCTATCGCGGACACACAGTAACTAGGTCACTTGTCTCGTTCACTCTAGTCCACTCCGTAATGCGTCGGAAGAAGCGGTAATTGAACACGGTCGCTAATTTGAGTGGCAGCGCGGGGTCTGCATGTCGACCTCACTGTGTTGTTTGATTTGTGCCGTCTCCAGTCCGTAATAGCACTGTAGCAAGGGGACATAACTCCGACTAACCGGCCGTCGATGTGTGTCTACCGGCCGAAGTTGAAAGGAGAGCCTGGACACAGGATATGGCTCTCCTTTCTTCGTGTCGGTCGGCCACTGCCCCTCCTTCATACGTGTATACATGCGTCAATTCGGGTTTTAAAATAGATTATTAAAAAGAGTTAAGAACGACTGCACTGTCAATACATAGGAACATCTTGTTGGATTCGTTACAGGCCAACGGTCCACTACGGAAATAACACTTTATGATGATAATTTAAATTATAAACGGCGCCGTTAGTCTTGAAGTAACTAGGCAACAATCAGCTGGCGGATACAGTTGCATTTCTGGTTGACGTACTTATAAATTTCGTTACAGAGCATATACATGTCTAAAATCAATAAATTATTTATTTCTCAGTTATCTGCAAAATAATTTCATAAACGTTGACTATTTATTTTTTAGAATAGGGAAGGGTTACTATGTATAAACATTTGCGACTCTCGTTCTGTCGTAAATAAAATAACAAGATGGCGACTCTCATATTGGATAATGGAGCGGGAACTGCGAAAATCGGGTTTTCTACTGATTCTGAACCTAAGTAAGGAAATTCTATTTAGTTGATCCTGATTATAATAAACGATAACAATGTGTGGTAATATAAATTTTTAATTGACGTGTCCAAAAAAGGACTGATAGAGTCGAAGTGTTCTCTATCTCTATACTCATACTCTCACTCACTGACTAGGTAGGTACTAATGTACTTTAGTCAAATTTTTAAAATGCCCTCAACACCAATAAAACGAGTACAGTTAGATAGCTGTAAATAATCTCTTTTCAATGGTACCTCATTTAGCCTTGTATGTCATTTCTGAGCTGAGATATGTAGGTTTTTGTGGAGATGAGATGTAAAAAAAACAGCTTCTAAAACTTGTGTCTTGAGAAACAAAAAGTTTTCTCTGCGCAACCAAACTGCGCAACTTTCGTTTTGGATTTGTTTTCATTGGACAAGATGGCAGACAATTTTTCTCAGACACAGCCACATAAAAGCGATTGCCTGAAAAAATGTCACTGTAAATCTAAACAGCCACGGACAAGAAAGAAATTTTATACACAAATGTAAAATTGGACGGATAATTCAATTATAACTAGCATTACCAGGGCCAGTAACAGTTAAAGCCTAAAGCCAACCCTGAATACTTATCGCTATTTTCAATCAAACTGATGTAACAGAAAAACAGAGGACGTCCGGCTGTCGTACACATGCTCTGTTAATCGGGTTCCTTCCCGCCGTTTTCAGCTTTTTATAGTGTGTGAAAATCACACCAATCGCAAAATTTCATTAGAGATTAGCGGCAATGTGAGTTTAATCGGAAGAACACTATCGTTAACCTGCGTCGGAGCGCGTGTCTTCCCGTCATGTCCTTATTAGTTTAGCCCCCCATTCGCGCGTAGTAGCACGGGGATATTCTCGGCGGTGAGTTTAATCGGAAGAACACTATCGTTAACCTGCGTCGGAGCGCGTGTCTTCCCGTCATGTCCTTATTATTGTGTGTATTGTTGTATTTCTCGAAATTGTCAATGGACAGTAATTGTAGTTTTGCCGCAATGTGTTTGTCAGAGGAAGTCCGCAATTTACATGTGATTGAGGCCCTGTCAGGGTGTGTTTTTGGCTGCCATAATATGTGGCCGTTATTCGGAGGATAGCTGAAGTTAAACATAGTAACATAGGACACTAGTGAGAAGTTAAACCTAGGACCCAGAGGCAAGTTAAATCTACCACCCAGATTCGAAGTTAAACCTAGCACCCAGAGGCGAAGTTAAACCTAGCACCCACTGTCGGAGCTGATGGTCTGCCTGCCATAGTTGCCGGTAATAAATCATAATTTTGCATATCATTGACGCCCTGTTAGAGTATGTTGACAATCTCAATGATTTGGGACCGTTATTTTGAAGATTTCTTTTCGCGGTATGCGGTATATTCACTGGAAAGAAGTCCGCATTTTACATGTGATTGAGGTCCTGTTAGGGTATTTTCTTAGCCTCGATAATTTAGGACCGTTATTCGGTGGATAGCAGATATTGTTTTTTGTCTATTTAACTGATCATATCATGGCGCACAGATATAACCCAAAAGTGCTATGTTCTACTTGTAAACTCTAGGTAAAGTAAAAAGTAAAGATCCCTTTTCACGCCTTTAGGCGCATCGGGTATATGGGAAGAGCGCTCATATTTTTACAGACCAGTCGGCACTCGGTGGGTAATGTGGTCAGCATTACGCCGGCCGTCTTTACTTTTCCAGGACAGCCATCCTGGTACCCATTTGAGGCTGGGTCGACCTGCGACGTCTCATACCACGATAATAATCAACGCCGCCCGCAGTGGGTTTCGATATCGGTACGTTGGATTATGAGTCGGACTCGCAACGCCTTAGCCACGGACACCTCGCTTGTAAACTCTAGCCTGAGTCTAAAGAATCTCAGTGCAGTGCACGAACTACGTTGCACTGGTGTCCCAGTTAGTGGCATATTGTTTTAGTCCTAATTGCTGAGATGAATTTAAAAAAAAAATCACACTTCACGACCACACCTACAGTTGATATTAGGGGAATTATCCTGGAAAGGAAAGGCAGCTGGTTGATATATTGACCATGTCACCCGTCAAGTGTTGAACGGTGATTGTCATGTAAAAAAAATATATATATATATGTGTCTAGCACCATATGCCTACCACACTTGAAAGGGATGAAATGGTACCTTTAATTTTATTTGAAACATTAAATATCATTATACTGTGCGTTATATATTTGTGGGGTGACATGGAAAAACTTGACAATTATTAATTTTCCAAACAGTGTTGCCATGGATATGTGTACTTTGTTGATATGACATATCAGTGTAGCACCATTTCACTCATACAACATTTAACCTACTGCTATGTTGGTACAAACCCGGAGTTTAAAATACAAAGGTCGTAACACATGGAAACTTACCAGATTGTTGATTTGGAAAACATTTCCAAGATCTAAAAAGACAAACAATAAAAAGTTGCAGTGCTTGAATTCAGCTACAGATATGTACTTATTGGCAAAACTTCTGGTCATACTCACCCATCGTCATAATAAATTTAGTATCTTTGTCAGATTAAGAAATTTTGTTTCTTTCCTTACCTAGTTTAGTTCTTCATTTTCTTATTCTTCTGCTGCATTTGCTGGCTGTCAACTCCTATGGAAAGTCCTAGTTGCTCCAATGTCTGGTTGTGTTGCATGCACAATTGTTCTCCAGATCCAGGTTATTTCTGTGCAGACTGTTGGTTCTGTACCTCAGGCAAATGTGTTCCAGCTTTAAAGGAAATTTCAATCCTGTCTATATTGACAAGACGTCTTATAAGGAAGAGTGATCGTGGAGAGAGGTGTAGATATGTCTTGACCAGTTTGAACCCTGAACCTGAGCTCTACCGCTAGCGATAGTTAACTTCTGCATTCCAAAGTTTAGTTTCGTGATACTATGCTTTCATGGTAACCTTTGTGATTTGAACAATTTTTTTAAAGAAATATTTTCTTTCTTAGATTTCTGAAGCGAAAATTTGAACTCTGATAGATACTGGCATTGTTGCCAGGTTTCAAAGCAAAGCAAACAAGTGTACATTTTGTATGCCTTTTGAATAAATTTGTGTTCTTATTTTACTTTGTTGTTTATCTTAATGTATATTTTATTTATAATAATCTCTCAATCCTGAAATAAATTATGAAAACATTTCCTCAGAATTATTCCAAATTGTATCACAAAGGCCAAAAATGTGCGCACCAGAATCTTTGTTGGGGATCAAATAGATGAGTGCAAAGACCTGTCAAGTCTATACTACTTACTTCCCTTTCAAAAGGTATTTTAAGGGACATTCTTTTCTACTGTTTTTATGCTAGTCTAATTGTTTGCTCCCTCTCAAAGGAAAACAAGACACGACATTGTGAAGACCATTTATGAACTAATGCTGTCAGAAGATATAATTTTAGATGAAAAATCTTATGCAAGGTGGCATGAGTTTGGATTTAAGTAAAGATGCTGCAAGAAGGATGTATGATAGGAACAGTACGACGTTTGTACAACCTGCATGCAAATGGAACAGTCAGCTTCTACACCTTGGGATGTTTACTGCAGGAGTCGGTGCATCTGTACATATGTTAGCTGATTATTAAATCATTAATCCCTCCAGATGTTCTGTATGGCTGAGATTTGCCAGTTTTAATTATGTTGTTATTACCACTGCTTGTAAGATCAGTTTTCATTATTCTTTGTCTTAGCTAGTTATAGAAGTGATTGGTGGAGAAGAAAACTTGTTATGACAACTATTTCCAGTATTATGTCTGTTTCTGTCTTTAACTAAACAAAGAGAAATCTACATTCTGTCTTCTCTTGTATATGAGACATTATGGGTTTGTTACAGGTCATGCCTGTGTTAGAAGAAATAAACAAGCTGAAAGAATGCTCATAGGCCTGCATTAGATAGCAGGCAAAAAATGGCCTGCACTAAATACTTTAAATGGGGCAGTAGCATTATGAAACTGCAGAGACAATCAGCCAGAAGGCTGAAGCCATTAACTGTTTAAGTACCGGAAGGTTTCACATGAGGTGCCCATCTGTGTACATTATCACTAGGAAAATCCACAAGTGTATTACTTTCGACGCTGCAAAATACAAAGGATGCCATATTTCTTTAGTACGTTTTGGTCAAATGTGTACACTATCAGAACACATTCAGTGTTTGGTAGGATTTACAACAGAGCTAATCACAAATCATACATTGCTGGGGCACATCATACCTTGTTTAGGGCACATCATACATTGCTGGGGCACATCATACCTTGCTGGGAAACATCATACCTTGTTTAGGGCACATCATACATTGCTGGGAAACATCATACATTGCTGGGGCACATCATACCTAGTTTAGGGCACATCATACATTGCTGGGGCACATCACACAATGCTGGGGCACATCATACATTGCTGGGACACATCATACATTGCTGGAAAACATCATACATTGCTGGGAAACATCATACATTGCTGGGACATATCATACATTGTTGCGACACATCATACATTGCAGGTACACATCATACATTGCTGGGAAACATCATACATTGTTGGGACACATCATACATTGCTAGGGGCAAATGATACATTGCTGGGGCTGAAAGAGTTAAGAAGGCAACTGAGGAATAGTAACCCAGCATAGAACCAGTGTTGTTAGTCACCGTGGTTCTTTTCAGCTTTTCACCCCCTCTTGTCAGCTGTGAGATCTGATAGCTAATTTCTAGGTAGTTTTCCAGATGGTCCTATAGTGTAGGGAGGTCAGGGTTAGGGCCAATGTTAGTCGGAATTCATTTAACAGTAACCCTCCAACACTAAAATTGCCATGTTCTAGTGGTGTTTGTTGTTTTCAGTGTTGTTTGTTGTTTTCAGTGTTTATTGCATCATCCTTTCCAGTGTGTGCTACTTTCGTTCATTTGTAGCCATCACTGTGCCCTGTTTAGAAGTAGTGTTCTTTGTGACTTTGCCTTCATCGTGAATTTCCTGCAACTGTCAGAACTCCTGCATCTAATCCTAACTGACGAGTGTGCATACATGTAGACTGTTGCTCCTTTTCAGGGACTTCGCCAAAATATCCTCAGTTTGCATCACACTGCCTAAGGTCAGCCCAAGAAAAACACCAGTAGAAGTATTTTTCACTAAGTGAATTACAGAATACAGTGAAGTTCATACTAGAGATGACATTGCAGATATAGGTAATCTATTTAGGGCTAACAAAAGAAGAAGAGGGAGCAACTTATCCTAACCTCTACACTATAGGACCTTCCGGGAAACCTCAGAATTCCCTACTAAGTCTCGCAGCCCATGAGATGAGGTGGAGAAGCTGAGAAATTACTGAAGAATATATTGTGGGAAAAGTCTAAGCGCTTATGAACTGAATAGTGAATATTTGCATTAAGAATAATCTGTCCACTAATGTTAACACTTCTTAAAAGTATTGTAGAAATTTCATTTCTTTAATCATGAGCCAAATAGGTTTTCGTGTTTTCATCTTTTCTTGGTATTTTTTTATATGAACTTTGTTAGCATGTGGTTTTAAAATGCTTGGGACTGTTATGAGTTATCACAGTTTGTATATGAAACTGAATTCTTGCAGGGATTTATCGTGAACTGGGAAATAGAAAAGCAAGTGTGGGATCATGTGTTCAGCAAAGATGTTTGCCAAGTAAGTTACACATTTTTTTTTCTATCTTCCAAGATTGCATCTGAAATTTAACATGCAGTGACTCAAAAAGCCAATTCTCTGATAAGAATCCAACGGGAACAAATCACAGAACCCCTTTCAGTCGTATAATACAGTTACATTAGAGCAACTGATGGTTAAGATGTAATATGTAGTAAAGCGTGGGTGGGTTGGCTGTAAAAGTGAGTGGCAGATTTCTTGTAAATAAATATATAGAAATGTAAAGGTAGGAATATTATCATTGCTGTTACAAAGGAATGAGGTGTTACAAGCCTTCATATATCAGGTTTGTTAACGGTGTTGTTATATTAGTTAATTAGTCGCAGCTCCAACTTCATCCCATAATTGCTCTGTTTCTCTGCCAGCAAAAACAACACAGAATGCCCATCACTGACCCTTGTGTAAAAAATTGACATTGACTGCAGTCTCAACAAAGCCAATAGTATACACATCTATTAAATACATTAAAAAAATTGTCTGATGTGGCAATGAAAAAAAAATTGCAGTTCACTGTTGATGGAAGCAGCAATTGCAACAAATCAGCAGTTGCACGTGCAAGACTGCCTAGGACATCACCAGTTCCGAGCATCAGGCCACCTACATTTTCTGAATTTACAGTTCACAACACAAACTTCCTTGGACACAGTAAAAAAACAACAACAACAAAAACGTAACTTTCCAAACGATATTCACAGCTCATAGAAATAAAAAATTAACACCATGTATGCATATTTTAAATGCAAGTTGATTTGAATATAGTGACAATCGTTAATATCAACAGGTTGATTTTAATGAAACAACTGTCATGATAACCGAACCATTCTTCAACTTTCCATCGGTGGGGGAGGCAATCAATGAAGTCATTTTTGAAGAGTACCAGTTCCAAGCATTGCACAGGACACAAGGTATATGTGATGTTCTTTTAATGACAAATCAGTCAACTACATAACTACACAATCATGAATGGTGAAATGAATGTTGTGGCTAGACAGCCTTTGTAAGGATATGTATGAGACAAATGGACAATGATGCAATTACAAACAAGAAAGTGGAGCTGCTGGCCAAGTGGTTACAGCATCAGGCTCTCATGCAGGAGACCCAGGTTCATCCCCTGGTAAGGTGATGCAGTTTTCTGTCGGGGAAAAATTAAACATCCTAACCTGTACAGTCCGTGGCAACAGCACTAACCATGCGGCCCTAAATACTGTCTCATAATCCCTTGTCTACACCACCCTAAAAGTTGGTACATACAGACAGTAGTAGTGAAAGTGACAAATAAGAAAATGTACAGTTACTTAGCTTTACATGATGCAGTTTTTTAACTCCTTCATGTATCAACTTCGAAAGTCAGGTGATATTCTTCACGGTTACCTGTGTTATCTTCAAACCAGTGTTGTTCTCTGTTGCTTTATGTTAAATAATGTCCAGATTTAGCCTGTGTTTGGTAATGAAATCGTATGGTAATTCTGGCATTATGAATATTTTGCTGTTGAAAATACTACCAGTATTGATTTTTTAAAGGTTAAAATTTGAGGTTTATGTGTAAGCTTATTGGCTTCATTACACTAGGATGTATCCACAATAACTCGGTATCTCTCCTTAGAGCAGCTGCCTACATACCAAGAGTTGCTGCACACAGCACCATCTTAGAGCTCCAGATATAGATCCCAGGAGTATCTGAAAATAATAATTGCACTAATGTACTGAGTGACACAGTCTGGTAAACCTACATCCTTCAAAATGCAAGACAAGTGGCTTTGACTACTTACTTCCTCCAGGTCTTGAATCTGTGCTGTATTAGTTTTTTTAATCTGCAGCTCCCACTTTAACTTGCTACAAGCATCAGACAGACAAAGAAACAAGCGGAAGTTTGTTTGGAACACTTGTTGTAGATTCTGGCTACTCATTTTCACATATTGTGCCCTTCTACAAAAATAAGCCGGTGAAAGAAGCAATTATTCGGTAAGTCAGTGTAATACATTATTGTTTTAAAAGATGATCTTTTCTCTGTCTGTTTCCTTTCCTCCTGTATTAGTTTTTTTAATCTGCAGCTCCCACTTTAACTTGCTACAAGCATCAGACAGACAAAGAAACAAGCGGAAGTTTGTTTGGAACACTTGTTGTAGATTCTGGCTACTCATTTTCACATATTGTGCCCTTCTACAAAAATAAGCCGGTGAAAGAAGCAATTATTCGGTAAGTCAGTGTAATACATTATTGTTTTAAAAGATGATCTTTTCTCTGTCTGTTTCCTTTCCTCCTTATAAGTTTTTTGTTGTTGCTTTCTTCTCCTCACACCCAGCCTAATAAAAGGATATGAAACCCTGTGGCATTATAAATGACAGTTTTGCAGCTTTCCAGGTTTTTTCTGGCATTACGACTTTGAGCAGTTGATTCTACATCTGTATAACAGTTGTGTACTGTTTGTGACTGTGTGGGGTTTAGATGAGATCTATGTGAATATATTTACTAAAAATAGCAATTGAAGGATTTTTGGGGGTGAAGAAATGTCATTTTTTAGTCATTCATTGTGACTTGGTTTTATGCCACATGACTGTGTCACCAAAAAATATTCTTGCTGACCAAAGGGAAGGACTGTAGTTGATTTTAAGCACATCCACTTTACAGATCTGGCTTATTTGTATGCAGACTGTTGGTTCCTCATCTCTTAGGCAAAATCATTCTGACTTTGAAAGAAACACCCCTAATTAGTTGACTTTTATGACTCGCTTGTTTGAAAGGGCATACAATCTGTTGTATTTTTCCTCCACCCTTGGGCTCCAAAACACATACAGGGAGATTGCCTTCGAAAATTAATGTGTTGCTTCTGTGTAAAAAGATATCACTGACCCCTTAAATTTGTGAGGAACAAATTGCAAATTTTTATTATTGACTCTATGTTCATTCTTTGCTAGTTTGTCTGCTTTTGTTATTACACTAGGTATGTTACAGTTTCCAGGGATCATACTCTAGATCAGGGCTAATCTGCTTTGTTTACTGAGGGGCCAACATTTTGAACATGGTGATCGTTATGGGCCAGAGGCCTGCACCCCAGCATAGAAAGATCAATAATGCAAGACAGTTGAAAATGTTCAACGGGCTACCTGCTAGGCCTCAGCGACCCTGTGGGCCGCCAGTTGACTAGCTCGGCTCTAGATGGTTGTTCACAAAAGTCATGGATGATTCAGAGAATGAAGATATTTCTTAATTCAGTCAGACAAATGGAAGATATTAGGAAGATAAAACTACATTTCTTACACAGAAAAGGTATGTTTTTTTTTTCTTCTTGTTCTTTCCAGGATCAATGTTGGTGGAAAAGTTTTAACAAATCATCTCAAGGAGGTAATATCATACAGGTGGGTTTTAAATTTAAATATAAAAAAAAAAAACAACAACAAAAACAAACAAATGTAAAGGACCATTTTATGCGCCTCAGGTGTATTGGGCATATAGGGCTAGACCTCTATCTTTTAGACTAGTCAGCACTTGATGGGTGATGTAGTCAACAGCATGTTGGCCACCTTTACTTATCAGGACTACCTGTAAAGTAAAAGAACCTTTTCCACGCCTTCAGGTGTATTGGGTATGTAGGGCTAGGCCTATATTTTGTAGACCAAACGGCACTTGGTGGGTGATGTGGTCAGCATAACGCAGGCCGCCTTTACTTCTCAGGACTTTACCTGATACCCATTTAAAGCTGGGTCGACCTGCTAGCCTGGGTCATTTTTTTAAAAAGTCATGCTTTATTCAGATTTGAACCCACAACCTTCAGATCCACAGACAAGCATCTAGCTGCTGCACCATGCCAGCTTCTTTTAGTTTTAAGGGCTCGGGTTGTATTTTGCTCATTTTCTTATTAATCATTTAGTCAAGCAATCATATATAGACAATCATAATCATGTAGCAGGTCCTTTGCAGAACGTCGCTCTCATCACGGTCTGCCTGAAAAAAGCTCGGTCTCTCGCCAGCTCTCCCGCTTCATGTACTTTTAAACTCAAGGAGTCACTTATATCCTGTGCCCATCTTCATGTTGGACAGCCCCTGCCCTTCCTTCCTGGGTACTTTTCTGTTAGTTTCCCAATCTGTCGTGGCACGATATGACCAAAATATTTCAGCTTCCAGTATAGACAATAGTGGGAAATAATTATGTTGGCTTTCTTGTCATGTCAGCTCTGTGGCTAAGTCAATGCAAACGCTTCGTAATGCCGGGATGCCCGGTTCGATCCCAACTGAGCGCCTTTCGTTGGTTTGGACAGTGGTATCTAGAAAGCCGACCGTCCAGAAAGCAATGGCAAACTACTGGATGTAAATTTGCCTAGAAAAACCACACAACAGCCAGGGGCTGTTGGGGTTGGTTCTACAACGTCTTTAAAGGATACGCAACTAACCTTGTCATTATCTTTCCTGAGCAAGTTGTACTGTATGTTAGATTGACAAAAGGATAACATAATTGAGTGACTTTTCCCCACTTATAATAGACATAGCAAGTCAAACATCATTTGCTGTGTGTATCAAGTGCGTAATTGTGAAAAGAGACACAAAATATGCAATATTGTACTGGATGTTTGCACGTACAGAGTAGTGAAGCAGCTTCTCAGTACATGAAGAGGCTCCATGTTGGTTCCAGGGTCCCATTTTAGGTATACAGAAGAACAGGTCATATTTCATGAAAACAAAAACAGTACCAAAAAAAAAGTATACAAAGGTTCTGGAAAGACTACAAATGAAAAGAAAATTACTGAAAGAAATAAAAAAAAAACAGAGAGAATTGAAATACTTTGGCCACATTAAAAGACATAACATGCTTTTAAAAACCATACTGTAGGGAACAGTCGAAGGCAAGTGAGCAAGAGGTGGGCAACGATACAAGTGGGAGAACAACATCAAGAGATGGATGGGCAGCAGTCGGAGAGTGTACAACCAGAATAAGAGACGGATTATGTTGACAATTTTTTGCAGCCAACCTTTATTGTGAAGACAGCACCTAATTGATTGAATTTGGGGAAAAAAATAGGCCCACCTCCTTCTCAACAAGCATGTCGTAAAAGGGGATTGTTCCGCGGAAGTCTTAAGTGCATCTGCCTGAGCGGTGAGAAACCAATAGTCCGCATACAAGTAACCCAGATCTGTAAAATGGATACACACTCAGAATTCAAGTTCTGGAACAAGAACATCCAGAAATAGACAAATAACCAGAACTTTCTGCCCAAGTGTACATCTGGTGAATGTTAAGATAAAGAAAGGATATAAAGACCAGCAGCTGGGCTTGTAGACAAGGAGCTGGAGAGAGACATGATCACCCATGTTAGCAGGTAGCTGAAGAAGAAGCTGCTTCAGACAAATCTTTTTGTGAGATTATGCTGGTATTCCACTACGGGTTAAAAACCATACTTGAGACTTCAAGTGTTTCATTATAGATGGCATAAAAAGATAGCAGATCATACACTCACATATAAGTATGCCTAGGAGCCTTACATTATCACAATCATGTGAGGGGAATGTTGCAGCTAGAAAGCCAACATCAGCATATAGCATGAATAGACAGTGTTACACTTATAAATGAGAATACACAGATTCACTTAACTGAGGTGTCTCCAAGAAAAATCCACATGTCTCTGTCTGGCCAGTTGAAGCCCTAAGGCAGTTTTGTATACAGGAAGTGAATACTAGACAAAGCTGTGTTGGATGTTAAATCCCATAGGTGAGCTGGAGCTCATTGGATAGATAAGTCATTTCTCAAGAGACTTACAGACTCTTGTCATTGCAGTGACTAGACTTGATGGCCGTAACCTCCATGTCAAAGACACCTCATTGACCCTGAGAACTGAAATGTATCGGCACTGGTTTTAGGACGCCGCTCTGCACATAAGAAGGATGTTACCTGAATTTGTCAGCTAGTTTAGCCCCGTTTCATCTATGTATTTGCTTCCATTGTATGTGAGATAATGTGCGTCATTTTTCTATTGTATGTGAGATAATGTGCCACGTTTTTTCATATACAAAATTATATTCCCTTCCCCTCCCCAATTTTTGCAGGTTTAAAATTGGTGGTCGTCTTATACACAGACTCAGAATGTGTTTGAAACTATTTCCTAATTCTGGGCTACGGGACGTCTAAAGCACAAAAAAATACAGTACTTATAAATGTTTAGTTGAGATGTAGTGCTGATTTTGAAAAATAAAGGATCCATTTTTTTCTTCAATATTTCAGGCAGTTGATGGTAATGGATGAAACGTACGTCATTAACCAAATGAAAGAAGATGTTTGTTATGTATCTACACAGTTTAACAAAGATATGAGTATAGCAAGGTATGTGCACAGATTATAATTCTTGTATGAAAGGACTGGTTATTTTAATGGTTTAGTTTGTGAAAGGTCTCCCACTTTGATAGATAAGCCAGATCTGTAAAACACATGTGCTTGCAAAGCTCAATTTCTGGAACAAGACAATTCCAGATGTAGACAAACAACCAAAACTTTCTAACGGAGTTCAGTTAAAAAAAATTAATCCTCCTTGATGTGGATTTAAACCCAGGACTTCTGTCCTGGCCAGCCAGGGAGCATCTAGTTACTACAATACCACAGCTTCCAGTAACATTGGCAAAAATTTGTGGTAATTCATTTTGTTAAAAAGTTAACTTAACTCTTAGCATGTAGAAGTTGTTGAAGAATTGTGTATTTCTATACAAATAGTGTTGTTTTATTCTACAGATGCAAAGGCCCAGAGAATTCAATAAGTCAGGACTATATCCTTCCAGATTACACCCATATAAAGAGAGGCTATGTCAGATCACGTTCAGAAGCAGGAAAACTCAAAGGAGATGAACAAGTAATTACAAACACGTTTGCACATTTATGTTTCTGTAACCCACATTTGACTCACTATATACCATGGAACTCACCATGTGGTCATTAGTTATTTATTTCTCAATTCCTCATTTCTGATCCAGATTACATGGACTGGCATTATTACTGTGGTCTATAAACCCCCATCCCCATTTTTTTTTTCTTTCAAATTATGAGTTGTGTTTATATTCCCTACCCTCTTATTCTTCAAAATATATATCATTATCCTGTGGTCAATAGAACTATGACTATGCTGGTTGCTGAGACTCTTATTACATCTGATCTTTACTCCAAATTCTCACATTCTTAGCAGTGATGTGGACTCTGTGCTTCCCAAATCCTCAGATTGCCCTGTCTCTCTAATGGCTTTGACATGTCAGCCTGATTGATAGGATGGCAATCTATATCTTAGGCAGAATCGGGCAGTCTGTCCGTTCTTTCATTGCACAGTTGTGACCTGCGGCGGCTTCATGGTGATGTGTGTCGTACCAACGATGAAATAGGCCAAGTGGGGTAAAACAAATAGGAACTTCAATGCTCTCAAAGGGTAGAACAACGAACGCTATACAATAGGTTCCATGGGTGTATTGATATACCAATGATCAATGGATGAAAAAATATGCAAATAATAAAACACACCAACGCAATCTTGCTCGTATATCAACTGACTTCATTACAAACAAGGGTCGCAGTCTGACCTTGGAATCCGTACAGCCACAACGATCTCAGTCCGACCTTGGAATCCGGACAATCACATCGATCTCAGTCCGACCTTGGAAATCCGGACAGTCATCTCAATCTCAGTCCGACCTTGGAAATCCGGACAGTCATCTCGATCTTCTCTTCTGCAGTCTGAAAAAGGTAATATAAGTAAACCGGCTTACTGCCGAACGTAGCAAACAATATACCAGCTTTCTGCTGAGGTTTATAGTGGAGTCCCGGGTAGAGCGTCCTCAAGGATCCAACTTTGATTACCATTCCTTCAGTGGCATCCCTGGGTAAAGCATCCTCAAGGATCCACACGTCTGTCTCCTTAAGACTGTAAGCATCAAATGCTTTTGACAACAATACCCTAATGACATAACCTATTGTTTTGAACTCCTATTTGCTCATTCAGTACTGGTGCGTTCTAGTGCACATCCGCACGCGACAAAGTGCAGTTTTGCAGTGGCTCACTCCACTGTCTGCATGCAGAACCTGCCCTGACCTACTGAAAAATATGTGTAGAATCACTCAGCACACACACATCTGGGAATAGCCCTGTAATTCCAGCCACATAAAAGATTGTTTCACCACCATAACCTCCATGCTGCTTCTAGTCTTACAGAAGGCACCGCTCGGAGCATACTGTAAATATGCATGCACTTTTGTGTCCTCGTACAACTGACCCGTCTGTGTAGATCAGCTCATCTGAATTTTCTCTGTGTAGATAAGCACATCTGTCTCATCTGAATTATCTCTGTGTAGATCAGCACATCTGTCTCCTCTGAATGATCTCTGGGTAGATCAGCACATCTGTCTCATCTGAATTATCTCTGTGTAAATCAGCACATCTGTCTCATCTGAATTATCTCTGTGTAGATAAGCACATCTGTCTCATCTGAATTATCTCTGTGTAGATCAACACATCTGTCTCATCTGAATTATGTCTGTGTAGATAAGCACATCTGTCTCATCTGAATTATCTCTGGGTAGATCAGCACATCTGTCTCATCTGAATTATCTCTGTGTAGATAAGCACATCTGTCTCATCTGAATTATCTCTGTGTAGATAAGCACATCTGTCTCATCTGAATTATCTCTGTATAGATCAGCACATCTGTCTCATCTGAATTATCTCTGTGTAGATCAGCACATCTGTCTCATCTGAATTATCTATGTGTAGATCAGCACATCTGTCTCATCTGAATTATCTCTGGGTAGATCAGCACATCTGTCTCATCTGAATTATCTCTGGGTAGATCAGCACATCTGTCTCATCTGAATTATCTCTAGGTAGATCAGCACATCTGTCTCATCTGAATTATCTCTGTGTAGATCAGCACATCTGTCTCATCTGAATTATCTCTGTGTAGATCAGCACATCTGTCTCATCTGAATTATCTCTGGGTAGATCAGCACATCTGTCTCATCTGAATTATCTCTGTGTAGATCAGCACATCTGTCTCATCTGAATTATCTCTGGGTAGATCAGCACATCTGTCTCATCTGAATTATCTCTGGGTAGATCAGCACATCTGTCTCATCTGAATTATCTGATAAGCGCAAGGACCTCTGCACTGATAGCAACAGGATTTTGCTCCTGACAAATATTAGGCATGACAAATACAGGAGAAGTTAAGGGCTTGAGGCACTTGATTTCTTCTCACGTGCTACAATGTTGCGATGTAAAACACTTAAATTTCAAACAGTTTACTTGAAGCAACATTGCATAGAAAAGAACAAATTTAAATAATATTTATCTACGACTGAAAGAGTTGTTGCAGTGGCTAACAAGCTTGCCAGCAACCCCAGTGATCTTGTGTCAGATCCCCATCTTCTTCTTCTTCTTTGTTCACTGTCTGTCAGATCCGATGGTAAGTCCTAGTTTTATGTCCATTTGGATTTTGGCTTTGTGCGAGGGCCTGAATTTAGCGTGTACATCTATCTGTTTTACTGGCTTTTTATGTGCTGTTGGTTGTTCATTGCCCCTCAGACAGATGCACTATGAATTCAAAGGAAGCCTCCAATTAGTTGACTGCTGCGACATGCTTGTTAGGGAAGCAGTGGGACTATTCTTGTTTTTTTCCACACTGGAACCTAGGAACCTACATGGAGAAGATCCTCGTCAAAAATGAGTTTTTTTAAAACAAATTGTCTGATATGCAAGCAGCATGGCTTGCTTCATATTGAGATGGACAATCTTTTAACAGTATGACTTTGTGACTAGAATCTATAACACAATTATCGTTAACTCAGGGTTCATTAGGGAAAAAGCAAATAACCTTATGTAAAATAAATGTTAAAGTTACTACCACAGCGTCCTCTTATAGAGACAATGTTTCCACTTGCAGTAGATTTCAGAATTTAGTGAGCCAAAAAAAAAAAAAAGATGCTGTTGAAACTCAATTACCTGATCTACATATCTTGATCAATATTTGCCTTAAGGCAGCTTCATGATTTGAAATAGTGCAGCATGAAGGATCATTGATTTAATTCCTACATAAGTGTTTATGCATGCATTTCACAGATGATCCGAATGACCAATGAGAGGTTTGCTATCCCAGAACTTTTGTTTCACCCCAATGACGTGGGAATTCAAGAAATGGGCATTAGTGAGAGCATCATGCACAGTCTCAGTTTGGTGGAAAAGGGTGAGTAGTGATGGCAGATTTGTTAACTCTTTGAGTCCCAAGAAAAGCATCATATGTTCATAGGTTCCTACCTAGAAGCCCAATGAACGCATGATGCGCCGATTTTATTACTTTCTTTACTACCCCCTGGGCCTGTGAAGCTAAACCCCCTGGGACTCAAAGAGTTAAGAAGCATTGTAAGACCTGTACAGTATGGTGTAAAGAAGTGTTAAGAAGCATTGTAAGACCTTTTAAATGCTAAATACTATGGATATAGTTTTAGAATCATGCTTCTCACAACCAACTGGTGTCCTGCACGCAGAGTGTGGCATGCATCATTTGATAAGACCCAGATCAGTCACATGTCATGGATTTTCTGTCAAGGATATTCAGGTGTGTGTGGCAACAAGCAACAAGTTGGCACAGAACCAATTCTGGATTACATACAAAGACAGCAAGTGAAATGGTTTGCCCACTTAGAGAGAATGCCTTGTGACACCATACCATACAAAGCATACATGGGAAGAGAAGAAGGACGTAGAGCACGGGGTAGACCAAGAACAAGATGGAAGGATAACATCAGAGAAACTCTACAACAGCACGATGTGCCTATGGTCGAGGCAGCCAGAAGAGCTAGAAACAGAACCTTATATCTCCCTCGACACCCACAGCGGTAAAAGAGGAAGTGAAGAAGAAGAAGAAGAAGAGGCAACAAGCAGGCTGATAGATAGTTGCTGCTGCTCTGAGCGGTGAGCTACCATATGAAAAAGTGGATGTGGTGAGGACTGTATGGGATCAAATGGTCAGTGCAAAAGAACCAATATGGAATCCATACATTGAAAGACTAATTCATTGTGGTTTGTGTGTAGAGGTTCTGGAAGATATTCAACATTGAAGGGAAAACAGGAGAACTTAAAATTAGGTTGCAACTGGTGCTATTATCATGTCAACTGTTTGTTGGTTACTGAAGAAGGGTACAGAGCACGTGTGGGAATGTCTGAGTGCAGTGATGTCAGTTCTTGATTGAATGATTGATTCATTCACAACCAAATGACACGTTACTATGCCATTATTGCATTGACTATTTCCTGTATTGGAGGGCACTCACGAGTCCTGAGTGTCAACGAAAGCTAGCAGCTAATTCTGTGCTGTGTCTGTATCTAGTGATTAATTCCCTTAGTTAACACAATTATTTCGCTCATAACTGAATGAAATTATGAAAAAAAACAAAACAAATATGAATTATTTTAGTGAATTCATGTTTGCAATAGTGCACTAGCTGGCTCTGTGGTCATAGATTTCAACATCCTGGATTTGATGAAAGCTTACCAAGACTCAAGATTTCTTCTTTAAAAAAAAAAAAAGTGATATTTCAAAAGCATTCTGATGTAGTGAAAGGGTTAAGCTGCAAAACCAAACTAGTCATGAAGTCTTCAAATGGTTTGACATGAAATGGTTGAAGGTCTGTGCTGCACTGGGAGGTGGAAGGCAAAAGAAGAAGGCATTGACTGTTTCATATCAGTATTACATCAACTGTTATTGTAGTGTGTCAGATTTACTTTGGCTGTCATTGTGATATGTCAGTTTTACTATAGTTATCTGTATACGTCATTATTACATTGACAATTTTTTGTATAGTATGTCAGAATTACACTGGCTCTTATTTGTTGGTACATTTCCGTCTTTCCAGATGATGGTCTTATATTGTGCAATGTTGAGGCATGGGACTCACAGCCCATGGTGATGGCAAGTGTAATTAGCAAGACCTGCCAGCATTAAGAAAAGTCTTTCATGATAAGAGCATGAGATTTCAGGATTATTGTTACCATCACATGTATTTAGAGTATTTCTTCTCAAATGCTCAGCGCTCATCTTTTCTGTAATCATTTTTTCTTTTATTTCCATTTCATTCCTGATTTTCCCCCTCCTCAACATGGTCTATGGCATTTTATTCCCACAAATCTACCTCAATACTTCTATCATTTCATGTCCTGTTTGTACATATCTTTTTATCGTAGCAGAGACCCGCCTTGGCATCTTCTGCCAATATGTAATTCACTAAGATGTCCTTAGGGACTCTACCATCCTCCAAGGGTGACCAGCCATCTAATCCTTTAGAGATTGAGCCTGAAAAAACTGTTGTGATTCTTGCTTTCAAAAACGTCAGTGTTAGTGATCTTTTCTTGTCACTTAATACCAAGAATTCTTCTTAGACATCACATGTGAAAACTGTTGTGATTCTGGCTTTCAAATACCTCAGTGTTAGTGATCTTTTCTGTCACTTAATACCAAGTATTCTTCTTAGACATTACACATGAAAGCTGTTTAGCCATTGGAGAAAAGAAAGACATGTCAGTCACAGTGTCAATATTATTTTAGCTATCATTATAATATATTCATTTAACTCTGAAAATCACACAAATATTTCAGAATTGGTGCCTCATTTGTTAAACAACATTGTTTTAACTGGAGGCAACGCTCTTCTTCCAGGTTTCCAGAGCCGAGTGTAAGTTTATCCCATTTTGTTAGATTACTTAAAGCACAGATATTTGTTAGATATGGGAGGATCAGCAGTGTAATATACAGTGTTGAGTGCAGACAGGGAATGAGATCTGCAGTGTTTAGTGAATGCAGTAATAGTTCACTATTCCGCAGGTGCTTACAGCCGGCGAACAAAGAAGAAGAAGTAAACCATCGTGTAAAAATCTATGCAAATAACAACCTTTCGTGAGCAACTGAATTGATAGTTATCTTAGAACAGCCATAAACCCTGCCACAGGATGCCTTACCGAGATTAGAATAATACCACCTGGCAAAATGGTCTTTGGTAAGAAGCATTAAAGAAAAAAAAAAAGGATGTCAAATGCAGTGAGTAAAAGTTGTCAAAGTGCTATAGAGAATCTGTGTTGTTATGTGCATGTGAGGCATGGACAAGGCCAAAAACACCTAGTCGCAGTAGAGATGTCCCGCCAGCATGAAGAATGCAAAGAATGTCATGGAATGATTGCAAAACAAACAAAGCAGTCCTCCTTAAAGCAGAAGACAACTAAACAACTGATTTGAGAAATTGGACATAGACAGCTACTACTTTTTGGAAGTTTTTATAAGAAGGAACGGGACTTTTTGGTAATAACTGGCAAGATTAATGGAAAAAGAAATATAAAAAAGGCAGTGTCATTAGATACCTAGATGGTTTAGCCATATAGATTAAGAAAAACAAGAACACTGGCTTAACTCTTTGAGCCCCAGAGGTGTTTAGCATCACAGGCCCAAGGGGTAGCCAAGAGAGACCTAAAATCAGCGCATTATGCGTTCATTGGGCTTCTAGGCAGTAACCTATGAACGTATCATGCGTTCTTTGGGACTCAAAGAGTTAATCTGTGATTCTGGTGATCTTTTAAGATAACGAAACATGACTGCCTATGCTGATCTGCAGCAGGCAGCATGATAATGATGGTTGTTATATTTTAATAGATTACATTGAATCTGAAGGTTAAGGTATGATGGTTGTTATATTTTGATAGATTACAGTGAATCTGAAGGTTAGGGTATGATGATTGTTATCTTTGTATAGATTTCAGTGAATCTGAAGGTTAGGGCATGATGGTTGTTATGTTTGGATAGATTACAGTGAATCTGAAGGTTAGGGTATGATGGTTGTTATATTTGGATAGATTACAGTGAATCTGAAGGTTAGGGTATGATGATTGTTATATTTTAATAGATTACAGTGAATCTGAAGGTTAGGGTATGATGATTGTTATATTTTAATATATTACAGTGAATCTGAAGGTTAGGGTGTGATGGTTGTTATATTTGGATAGATTACAGTGAATCTGAAGGTTAGGGTATGAAGGTTATCTTGTTATAGATTTAAGTGAATCTGAAGGTTAGGGCGTGATGGTTATGTTTGGATAGATTACAGTGAATCTGAAGGTTAGGGCGTGATGGTTATGTTTGGATAGATTACAGTGGATCTGAAGGTTAGGGCGTGATGGTTATATTTGGATAGATTACAGTGAATCTGAAGGTTAGGGTATGAAGGTTATCTTGTTATAGATTTAAGTGAATCTGAAGGTTAGGGCGTGATGGTTATATTTGGATAGATTACAGTGAATCTGAAGGTTAGGGTATGATGATTGTTATATTTGGATAGATTACAGTGAATCTGAAGGTTAGGGTATTATGGTTGTTATTATTGGATATATTACAGTGGATCTGAAGGTTAGGGTATGATGGTTGTTATATTGGATAGATTACAGTGAATCTGAAGGTTAGGGTATTATGGTTGTTATATTGGATAGATTACAGTGAATCTGAAGGTTAGGGTATGAAAGTTGTTATCTTTGTATAGATTTAAGTGAATCTGAAGGTTAGGGTATGATGGTTGTTATATTTGGATATATTACAGTGGATCTGAAGGTTAGGATATGATGGTTGTTATATTGGATATATTACAGTGAATCTGAAGGTTAGGATATGATGGTTGTTATATTTGGATATATTACAGTGAATCTGAAGGTAAGGGCATGATGATTGTTGTATTTGGATAGGTTACAGTGAATCTGAAGGTTAGGGTATGATGATTGTTATATATGGGTAGATTACAGTGAATCTGAAGGTTGGGGGATTCTGGCAGTGGACAGGATACTCATTGGAGGCCTGATAGTAGAATTTTATGTATGTTTATATACACACATATGCAGACACACACATACATACATACATACACACACACACCACACATACACACCACACATACACACAGTGTCGTTGCACTGGAAACCACTGGGCCAAATTAAGAGACCAAAATACACACTGAGAAGATAACTGAAGAATTAGGTGAAAAGATAAGGACATGTGTTGAGCTGCATGCAATGACAAAGAGTATATTGTTTTGGCGCTGGTTGGTTTAGTCTGTGCTTCATTGATAGATCAAGAGCATAAGTGAAAAGCCATTTGCTAACATAGATAAAGTCCTCCCCCCCCCCACCTTTATAACTGACTACCAGGGCCAAAATGTCTGCTGGATTTCCCGAGTTATGTACCATTTTTTTTTGGGTTGTGATTTGCCTAGCAAAAGAAACAGTAAAATTGTCTTTTCCTTGAGCTGTAAGTTAAATTAGAATTGGAGTTTGTGTGGTGGAAACTAATGCTTTTAGCTTTGCTACTTCTCCTTTTTAATGTTCACTGGTTACTTCTGGACTTTTGACAAGTTCCAGAACTTGTGTTTTGCATTAACATCTGTTTTACAGATCTGACTTATTTGTATACAGACATTTTGTTACCTGCCTCTCAGGCAGATGTACTTCAACCAACTTTGAAGCAAACACCGCTTATAAGTCGCTTTATGTGGGTGTAACCCCCCCCCCCCCCCCCTCCCCTTAAATAGGATCTGGCATCCCACACAGAGACGTCATGGATCAAACTCTAACATTGTGCAATACAAAGCAAACATGACAACTTAAAAAAATTACCAGATTTGTTTCCTCTTTAGGTTCATGGATGTCAGAAGCATGGCCAATGATGATATGGATGTTGGTGTATCTACACCAAAAAAGTAAGTAACAAATGCATTTGTTTCCTTCAAGGCACCAAAGCCAGCTCTTCTTCTTCTGCTTTTTTATTCCCCAATGGAGCATAGGTCCTCAACCAACTCATGCCAAGTCGTTCTATCCTTCGCCATTGCATGGAGCTCTCCCCATGTTCTCCCCATCTTTCTAACTTCATTCTCCAGCTCTCTTCTCCGTGTGTTTTTTGGCCTTCCTTTATTCCTATGCCCCTGTGGGTTCCAAGGCAAAGACATTCTAGTTACCAAAGCCAGCATGCATAACCAAATTCTAAGAAGCTATTTTTGAGTACTAGATAAGAATACTTTGTATATAGGTTTTATCGTCAGTGATATTTTTCATACGTCTTTTTAAAACAACAGAAGTCATATGTATATATTTATGTCTGTCTATTTCTTTTGATGTTTGGTACCTGTTTGTCTGTCTGTCTGTCTGCCTATTTCTCTGGCTGTCTGCCTATGTACCTGCCCATCTGTGTGTCTGTTTGTCATATCTGTTTGAATCTTTAGGTTTTCTTAGGCCGTGAATACTGCTCACCAGTGTTTGCCACAGTGAACGAATGTTTTACAACCCAAGCAACCAAACATCATTCTTTGGATTTAGAGGAAAAGGGAGTAGACCCATGGCTCCGTAACAAGCATGTCGTAAAACTGACTAAGGATTTGTTGAAATCAGATATTTTAGGCTGTTAGGGGCATATACCACAACACACAGTGCCAACTGCAGTATTCAAGGTAAAGAGAGAAGAAGAAACCAATACACTTATATATAAATCAAGTGTTTGTTCTTTTTTTTCCCTGCTTGCATATCAAAAAACAGTGTTCCATATCTTTTAATTTTATCTCTGTCTATGTTTTATTGTGTAGTGCCTAATTCTTTAGAAATATCTTTTTAACTCTGCATTACGTTATATGTGGTAATATCTATGTGTGATTTTGTTTACAGCCCAGTAACATATGCTTGGCATGCTGGTTGCGACTTCTCCCTGGATCCTACCTTTCCCTCCCTCTGTGTCAGCAGACATGAGTATGAAGAGTACGGACATTCCGTGTGCACAACAAAATTCAATGTTTCATAGCCAACTTGTATGGACATATTCTTGTATGTTTGGTCTTGTATATTTGTGCCCCATTGTTAATTTTGTGCTAAAATGTCTGTAATAAACACTGGTTTTGTAATTCTGCATTAGAATTATGTATTAAAAACTTTCAAAATTCTATTTTATCATCATGTAGCAGGTCCTTTGCAGAACATCACTTTCATCACAGTCTGTCTGAAATTAACTCGGTCTCTTGCCAGCTCTTCTGCCTCATTCAATACATAAGGAGTCACTTATATCATGTGCCCATTTTCGTGTCGGTCGGCCCCTGCCCCTCCTTCCTGGTACCAAGTCTTCTGCTATAATTTTTTTCCAATTCATCATGGCGCTTTATATGACCAAAATTTTTCAGCTTCCGAGACAGGATACTGTTTATTGGCCAATCTTCCTTGATGTTCAGATCTTTTAAAATGTCAGTATTTCTTCTCTTCTTGGTCCATGGTATCCTAAGAATCTTTTCTAGCATTTCAGCTCAAAAGCCCTTATTCTCTTTCTTTAAGGACGACTGGGAGATAGCCCACGACTCACATCTGTATGTTGCTACACGGAAGATGCATGCTCTCAAAATTCTTTTTTTGATCTCTTTGCTGATGCTTAACCAAATACTTTTAAGGCTGTTTAATCTTTGCATTGCTATGGCCATCCTCATTTTAATTTCTGTGAAACAGTCTCCATTGCTATATATTATAGAGCCTAGATATTCAAAGTTTGTGACATTTTCTATTTCTTTATCATTTATTATTTTTTTTTTTTGGGTGGCAGCCAGTTTTATCTGTGGACATTATTTTCGTTTTCTTTATATTCAAGAACAGATTTTGATCTTCACTGTAATTTTGGACAGACAATATTACATTTTATATTCCCTTTATGGTGTTCGAAAGGAGGACTGTGTCATCTGCGTAGCAAAGTTCCGCAATAGGGTTGCAACCAATTTTGAGCTATCACAGGTCTGGTAATTTTTGACATTTCTCATTATATTTTATGCGTATATATTGAATAGGTATGGTGAGAGAGTGCACCCCTGCCTCACTCCCTTTTGCACCTCAAACCAATCCAATGTTTCACTATATTAGAATTATGTAAATCTTTCAACCCCAAGAAACTTGTAATGTGGGACTGGCTGTTTCCTGTGAATTCTGACAGTCACACACTCATTATTTTTCTACTCATAATTTCTCTTCTAAAGCTGATAGGATCGATTCTATTGCACCATGTTATTACATATTGCTCAGTCTCTATTCTGCGGAGTGGCTACCCATCTGCTGACAGTGTCAAACAAAGCACAAACTCTGTAGCTGCATTGATGAAGTAAAAAAAAGAAAAAAACTTAAACCCGTGCTGAATAATGCATCTGTGGAAAAAAACAAACATGACCTTTAGTAGTGTGGAAAAATGGTTTGACCGCTTAGCCATGAAGACCCCCTTCACTTAGCGGACATCTGTTGTGGGTACTGTCTGGTTCACAAAGCATTGATAGTTTCCCTGGAGACCATGTTTAACATGTTTTACAGGAATATCATCACTTAGCGGACATCTGTTGTGGGTACTGTCTGGTTCACAAAGCCTTGATAGTTTCCCTAGAGACCATATTTAACATGTTTTACAGGAATATCATCACTTAGCGGACATCTGTTGTGGATCTGGTTCACAAAGCCTTGATAGTTTCCCTGGAGACCATATTTAACATGTTTTACAGGAATATCATCACCTGGCGGACATCTGTTGTGGATCTGGTTCACAAAGCCTTGATAGTTTCCTTGGAGACCATGTTTAACATGTTTTACAGGAATATCATCACCTAGCGGTCATCTGTTGTGGATACTGTCTGGTTCACAAAGCCTTGATAGTTTCCTTGAAAACCATGTTTAACATGTTTCACATGAATATCATCACTTAGGGGACATCTGTTGTGGATCCTGTCTCTTTAATAAAAAATGTATAGTTTTACTAGAGACCAATTTTAACGTTTCACATCATTGTCATCATTGACAAGCAAGCCCTCTACAGAATGTCGCTGTACGCCTGAAAGTGTCTCTTTCTCCAGACAATTCTCCAACCCTGTATGCTTTTATAGCCAGCGCATCTTCAGTGTCTTGTTGCCAGCTTTCACGGAGGTCTACCTGTGCTCTTTTCTGGAAACTGTGTGGTTGGTCTCTGTTCTCTGTAGGCGACCATGGCGCTAAACATTGCCAAAGTACCTCAGATTTATAGGAACATCACAAGTGTTAATATCAGACATCGTTATGTGGTGCGGAGATTTTCGTCACAGGTGTGGGGAAAAGTTAAGTCAGATGGGATGTGTATAAGGAGATACTCCGTACCTCATCTCTGTGCTGGTTTTATGGAACATCATGCAAGACTCCTGTTGCACGTCCCCATCGTGCGCCACGGATAACGTCTCAAATGAGCATTAACAGAGCTGGCAAGGGATTTCAGAGCTGGTGGCCTCCAAAGATGTAGTGTCCAGCCTGGCTCACATCAGCCCATCCCTAAAAGCATGGATGAAAACGTCTACCAAAACTTAATTCCAGCATGAGTTAAATCTGCTTGCTGAATGTGCCACTAAAATGACAACTCTCGGTTAAAGTCTGTCAAATGAAAGAAAAAACGGAACTGCTGAGACCAAGAGATTTACCCGCAGCTTAGACAAGTAGCATCTCTTGTGTGACGTCTTCCTTCGAAGTCAAGAGTACATCTGCCTGAGAGGCAGGTAACAATGACTGCACACGAATAAGTCAGTAAAACGGATGTACATGCAAAACTCAGGTCCTGGTGCAAAGCCAGGAACAACCAGGACTTTCCGCTGGAATTCACAGCCACTTAACAAGAAGAGTCGGCTAAGTCGATGCGAATGCTTCGTAATGCCGGGGTGCCGGGTTCGATCCCAGCTGCGAGCCATGTGCCTTGCATTGGTTTCGACAGTGGTCTCAAGAAAGCCGACCGTCTAGAAAGCAATGGCAAACTACTGGACGTAAATTTGCCAAGAGAAACCACACAACAGCCAGGGGCTGCTGGGGTTGGTTCTGCAACGTCCTGTAAAGGATATGCAACTAACTAACAGGAAGAAGAAGAAGCAGACCTAATTTATCATCATCGTAGATACTTAAGTGCTCCGTATCTTTGGGTTACCAGTCTAATCAGCTGTCTCTGCCTCTTACTGTTAGCCTTTGTGGACACAGAAATATAATTCACATCTTCAGGGCTCCTAAAGAATGTTGAATTAAGAATCAACATCCTAGCACCCGGTACACCCCCATAATTGCTCTGTCCCTATCTTCAGCAGCAAACAAAGAGTTCCAGTTGCAGTGGTACCAGTAACTGTCTGACTGTACATCCATCTTGCCTTTGCGTTGAGTGTTGAGCGTCGACCAGATCCCCCTGATACTCCTGGCAGCTCCATTCTCCACAGACCATCATGATCTGTTTGTGCCTCTGCATTGTTCGCTCACTCCAAAAGGTCCTGTGGAGAACACACAATTGGAAGATCTTGATTTTGCAGGTGACATTGTTCTGCTGTCAGAACAGCAATGACATGCAGAAAAACAGGTGGTTTAGCAAAAATACCATTAAAAAAGTTAGACTACAAAAAAGTTACCTTTTACAAAAAAGTTATTGTGTCTTCTATCGTTCATTGGTATTTGCTGCCTAATCCTTTTTTGTTTTGCTCATTATGTATTTAATGTGTTATGTCTTCAGTAGTTTGCCACTGTCTACCTTTTAATGTGTTATGTCTTCAGTAGTTTGCCACTGTCTACCTTTTAATGTGTTATGTCTTCAGTAGTTTGCCACTGTCTACCTTTTAATGTGTTATGTCTTCAGTAGTTTGCCACTGTCTACCTTTAAGTGTGTTATGTCTTCAGTAGTTTGCCACTGTCTACCTTTTAATGTGTTATGTCTTTAGTAGTTTTCCATTGTCTACCTTTTAGTGTGTTATGTCTTCAGTAGTTTGCCACTGTCTACCTTTTAATGTGTTATATCTTCAGTAGTTTGCCACTGTCTACATTTAAGTGTGTTATGTCTGTAGTAGTTTGCCACTGTCTACCTTTAAGTGTGTTATGTCTTCAGTAGTTTTCCACTGTCTACCTTTTAGTGTGTTATGTCTCCAGTAGTTTGACATTGTCTGCTTTTAAGTTTTCATGTGTTTTGTCTTCAGTAGTTTTCCACTGCCTACCTTTTAATGTGTTATATCTTCAGTAGTTTGCCACTGTCTACCTTTAAGTGTGTTATGTCTTCAGTAGTTTGACATTATTACAGTAATACTGCTGAACATAAGATAGGTGTTGGTACTCACTCCAGAGTGTTTATTACAATAATGCAGTTGAACATAAGATAGGTGTTGGTACTCACTCCAGAGTGTTTATTACAATAATGCAGTTGAACATAAGATAGGTGTTGGTACTCACTCCAGAGTGTTTATTACAATAATGCTGCTGAACATAAGATAGGTGTTGGTACTCACTCCAGAGTGTTTATTACAATAATGCAGTTGAACATAAGATAGGTGTTGGTACTCACTCCAGAGTGTTTATTACAATAATGCTGCTGAACATAAGATAGGTGTTGGTACTCTCACTCCAGAGTGTTTATTACAATAATGCAGTTGAACATAAGATAGGTGTTGGTACTCACTACAGAGTGTTTATTACAATAATGCAGTTGAACATAAGATAGGTGTTGGTACTCACTCCAGAGTGTTTATTACAATAATGCTGCTGAACATAAGATAGGTGTTGGTACTCTCACTCCAGAGTGTTTATTACAATAATGCAATTGAACATAAGATAGGTGTTGGTACTCTCATTCCAGAGTGTTTATTACAAAAATGCTGTTGAACATAAGATAGGTGTTGGTACTCACTACAGAGTGTTTATTACAAAAATGCAGTTGAACATAAGATAGGTTTCCGTACTCACTACAGAGTGTTTATTACAATAATACTGTTGAACATAAGATAGGTTTCCGTACTCACTACAGAGTGT